CGCTGAAGGCCAAGGACGGTGAGCGGCCCGCGGGGAGGTGGCGCGGGGAACCGGCCCGGATTCACCCCGGTGTGGGTGCTCCGACCTTTGAGCAGAGCGCGGGGAAAGCTGCCCCGGTCGATGCTCCGCGGGTTTCACTTGTCTCGTGGTGGTTTCTAACCAGTAAGCCTGACGGGTGGACTTTCGTAGCCTTAAAACGCTTCGGAGTGCTTGTCTTGCTGCTTTAAGGAATGTACCTGTGCTGGAGGTGGTTTTGCAATAAGGACGCTGTAGCTCAGCAGTGAAACTTGCGGGAATTATGTGCCAAAGAGGCACCAACGACACCTGAAGGCTAATGAGGACTCAGCCAATGCTTGTGCAGCAAAGGGAGGACTGCGAGGTGGCTTGGGGTGGTGGAAAACCTTAGCTAAGCCTTACATTTTACGTGGTCTTCATCTCATGGGTTCTCTAAAGTTTTGTTGCATTTTAGGATAAATATGAAAAAAACATTTAGTTAGGTGCATGGAGCTGTGTGGGTGAGAAGTGAACTGCCCACTGGTTAATGAGGAACCAACATGAGAAATTGTCTTGCAGTGGAACAGTAGCTTAGAACCTAAGGAAAAACAGTGAAGTTGCTTAAGTGATGATAAATGAAGTTCTTGAAAAACTGAAGGCTTTTCTCTGTGCATCTTTTTATCTAGGGAAACTGCCTTTTTGCGCCATGGGCGTGAGCTCTGTTATCCATCCGAAGAACCCTCATGTTCCAACCATGCACTTCAACTACAGATACTTTGAAATTGAAGAAGCAGATGGTAAGAATTTTAATCCAATGAAGTATGTAGGAAAGGTATGTCTCTGCAGGAAGGAAGTGTGAATGCATGGCTAGGGTAAGAGGTTACAAACCTGTCCAGGTTTGTTCCCAGCTGTGCCAAGAATCCCTTGTGCAGCATTGGATCTCTTCATCTCTGGCCTTTGTAAAATCAGTGTGATGAGTGCATCAGGTAGAGTTAAGGGGGTCTGCTTTTGGCAGAGTACACCAGAGGGTTCAGATTTTAAAATGTAGGAGATTATACATGTATGTAAAACACATTCAAAGCAGCAGTTCTAGAATTCAGTAGAAGAGAGATCTGTGAAGGACTGATAAGCATTCTGGTCATGATGTACCTTTGTCTCAGCAGCTGGAGGGACATATTGTCAGAAATAGTTATCTCTTATCTATACTGTGCCTTATTTCCCAACTCACTTCTGTAATTTGCTGCTGCCAGGAGCAAGATTCCTGGCTAGGTGGTCAAACACTGAGGGGCCATCTGTACCTTGTGATAGTGTATGCACTGTCAGAAGCTCAAGGAGAGTTTTCTCTCAGTTATTTTTCCGGAGCATTATGGATAATTTCTAGCCAATTACTTCCCTGGATGTAGTAATGATTTTCCCTTTCTTTGGCATGCAATAAAATGCCTTTGGATGCTTGAATAGGAGTTGTCAGCCCACCTCATAAAACCGATATCCTGTTCTTTGGGGTCAGCAGTCCAAAATACTGAACGAATGGTTTTCACTGCTTTGAAATTTGTTTCATGTTTTCCTGAATTCACTGGTCATCACCTTAGCGTGAACTCAGATTTTTCATGATTGAGGTTTAGGGAGACCACTGAATAATGATACTTGTTTTGTATTGTAAAAGTAGTTGTTAGTTCTTGGTGAAGCACTAGCAATGTGTTGCTGTTCAGAAGTTTGAAAGAAAAGTGTTGCTGCTTGTCTCTCCTACAGGAACTAAACAATGGTGGTTTGGTGGTGGGACTGACCTCACTCCAACTTACCTGAACGAAGAGGATGCTGTTCATTTTCACAAGACTCTGAAGGAAGCCTGTGACAAGCACGATCTGAAGCTCTATCCCAAGTACAAGAAATGGTATGTGGGGAGAGATGCGCTTGCAGGGGAGCAGAAGGCAGCACTGGTGTTGCCAGTTAAGCATACTCTAGGAACTGTAGGTTCTGCTGCCTTTTGAAAAGTATCAGCAAACCCTAATGAATATCAGCAGAAGGGTACTGGGACAAAATGTAGTCTAAAGAAATCTCTTACTTACAGGAGCCTGAGTTTTTCAAATACAGGGCTCACACTAGCATCATAAGTCTGTGGCCCAAATGAAAACCAAGTTGACTGAACAAGATCTTATAAGCCACAGGCTTCACTAGCAACTTAAAAATTTCTTTTAGCTTCTGGTGTTAAACTAGCAGAAGACTTTTGCCCCATGGGCTTGCACAAATTCTGCTCACAGTGAGCTCATAGTACATGTGTGTGATTCAGCATGAGCTCTTGGGTCAGCACTGTGGTTCTGAAAATCCCACTCCAGTTTTTCTGCCTTCAGTCTGACCTTTATGGGCTTTTTTTTGTTGATTTTTTTTTTCTTCCAGGTAAGTACAAGAGCTTGTCCTTAATGTAGAAGCTTCATCATTTTGATGAAGCCAAGTATGATGAACCTAAGTAATAATAAAGTAACATCATTTTGATGAAGCTGTACTTTTTCTCTCATGGCACATTCACTGAGAGTTCAACAGCGTATTCTCTAAGATACAAACTTTGAATGTTCTTCTTGAGCTGAAGGATAAAAGTGATGGGATCCTTCACCATTCAGTGGGGACTTGCTGCTCTGTGTCTGATAATCCTATCTGCCACAAGCTGTGGTGTCCAGGAAGGAGTGGATACCCTTTTTGAAGCTACCGGTTCTTGTCTGAGGACAGGAGATAAAGTGGGTGTTGTGGTTTGGGTGGCAACCACTTAGAGAGACACGTCTTAAAACCTTGTGATTAATCTTGTTCTCTGAGGAATTTTTGCATGGTAGTTCAGAGTACCTGCCTTAATGGTCAGGTTGTTTGCAGCCTAAGTAGGCTAGCAATTCCAGCTGCAGGGGGTCAGAGAGGAGGATGCCTGATCTTAGTCTGAGGACAGCTCAGGGAAGGACTGATTATATCCCATGGACAAAGGTAGTTTTCTCAATCCCAGCACAAGTGTTTTCCTGTAAGCAGCAGCTGTGTAGAAGTGTGCAGTGCAGTTCCTACTGCTGGAGCAGTGTGAATCTCTGAGCTTCTGCTGTTTAGTGTTGCCCCTTTTCCCACCTTTCTCAAATGTAAAAGGTCTTGTTACATTTGCGACATTGTCTTCCTGATCTAGGTTTAATAGTTTTGTCAGGCTTGTTCTGTTTTGCATTTCTGACTCAGCCTTTCTCCTTTTGCCTTTTGTCCTTTTGCCATAAAATAAAAAATGTGATCATCCCAGTGAATAGAACATTGTGTTACATCTCCATGTCTCTCCTGCTGTACAGCCATACCATATTGTTTGCTTAAAGACAACTGGGGATGGATATGGAAAACTAGCCTTAAAGGAAGGCAAGGTTTTCTTGCAGTCAATGGTTTCTGCTTCCTATTTCCCTTTAATTTCTTCCCCATCTGTAGACTTGGAGGGCATGGCTGCCCAAGCAAACAACTGTAAGCAAGATAGGGTGTGGATACAATGAATCAGTTAATTTACAGTAACTGCACAGCTACATACTTCCAGAAAATACAAAAGAGTTTAACTGCCTTCCTGTTGTAGGATAAGCTGCTCTTACTCATTTATAAAGATGAACATGAGCCATGAAAAGCCACTGCTAGAATGACTCCATTTTACAAAGCTTTTTTCCAGGGAAGGCTGCCTCAGTTGTCATTTTTTCTTAAGTGACAGTGGCTTTCTTATCTGGTCTTGGGTTTTTTAATTCCTTTAGTTTTGATGAAGAAAGTAAATTCTTTTACTGGAGTAGGTAGAGGATATGGATTGGATGACTCCACATGGAAGCACCTGCCATGGTGTTTGAGTGTTACATGTTCAGTGACTGTGTGGTGATACGTAGCTTTGCAGAGGCTGTGTAATCAGAGCTTTTACTGTTAGTGACAGAGGAGTGCTCTCCAGAGAGTGCTGCACTGCCCTGGCTCTTGGCACTCAGTGGGGCACCTGGCACTGCAGGAACTGACTTCTGGTCAGTATTTCACTAGTGCTGTCCTGTGCCATGTAGCTGTGTGGAATTCTGTTCATTTCTTTGAATACTGTGGACCACGTTAATAATCATCTGATGCTTCTTCTAGGTGTGATGACTACTTCTATATCAAGCACCGTGGCGAGCGAAGGGGGATTGGAGGCATATTCTTTGATGATGTGGACTCTCCCTCCAAGGAGGAAGTATTCCAGTTTGTGAAGAGTTGTGCCAAAGCTGTTGTGCCTTGTTACATTCCCATTGTGAAAAAGCACTGCCATGATTCCTTCACACCAGAGGAAAAGCTATGGCAGCAGATTCGGAGAGGACGGTGAGTACTGGAGGAGCAAAAGAATACACAGGAGGTGGATTGTGCTGGCAGGAGAGAAAATGAGCTAGCTCTCTTTCTGGTCACAGGTTTATGCACTGTTGTGGTGTGGGCTAAAAAAGCTCACCAGAGCATTACAAAATTTTTGTCCACAGAACTAATTTTGAAATCCAATGCTAGGTTGCTAAGGAGGGTGCAAAGAAGGTAGTAGCTCTCCCACGTTGCAACACAAGCAACCCAAACAAAATGCCACAGTTTCTGTCCAACTCCTTCAAAAGCCAAGAGAAGCTGCTGCTGTGCAACAGGGAAAGGGGAGTAGGTGTGTTTGGTGTCCTGAATCCTGCCCCCTCCTGCAGCCCAGTGATACAGGATACAGGACTGCTGAGGAGGGAGTTGTGCTTCCTCTTCAGTAATAAAGTAAACCCCCAGAAAGTCAGGAAATAACTGTACTTGAGTGCTTTCAGCTTCTTACACACATATTTATTCCATCTGATCTTGGCATTGAAATGAGGATGCAGTGAAGTCTCTGTAAAGGAATAGAGATACAGAGAGTTCGTTTTTTTTCAGGCATGGTCCCAAGTCACTGTAACTCACAAGACTTTGGAGGATGCTTGTTAATGTCAACAGCTCTTAATGTCCTGTGATTGTGTTGGCATGTAGAGACATGAGAATGCACATGCATTGTGCAGAACTAGGATCTTCAGTTTCTGCCTCTTCTGCGGAGAAATCTGTCAGTGGCATGGAGAGGATATAAGCATTCAAGTTCAGATCACTGTCCTGCAGCAGTTACTCAGATAAGCATACATCCTTAATTTGGTGAGACTGTTCTGGGAATAGTCTGTGGATAGGATTTTGCAAACCTGCTAAGTATATAAGGTGGAATAGCTTCTTTAAGCTGCAGCCAGGACCAGCTCCTGAGGCCTGCCTACTTTCCTGGGTCTGTTTGCAGGTTACTGGGCTAGATAAAGCTTTCCATTTCTGCAGAGATGTAAGAGCTCCTCCCTTCCTGTACCTGTGTTAGGTAGTAACACCTCTGTACTGGTTATTAAGATAACACCTGCTGAATTGTCACTGCTCTGTTCCTATGCTGGGAGCAGAAAATGGTGTATTACATCACTTACGAGTCCCAGACAACACCCTGAAGCTGTCTGACTTCTGCTGCTTTCCAGATCTCCCCAAGGAACAAAAAATCTTGTTCTGACCTTGCTGCTTATGTGTCCTTCAGTATGGAGGACTGCACAGTAGAATTTTTCCCTCTGGTCATTTTCAGTTCCTTTCAGGTTCCTCTTAATATCTGACACCACCATGCAGAAGAGAATGACCAAGGTATGTGTGGTGTTGAGCTTGCAAAACGCTCTCCTTTGAACAGTTTGTCTGCTCTAGTTTCTTAGCTAAGGTCATTACTCCTTCTGCTTTGGGGAGTGGCAAGGTCACACTTGCATTCCTATGCAGAGGATGCTAAAGAAGAGCTGACAGCACAACAGGGTTCATTCTGACACTCAGCCCACAGGCTGGTTTTGTTTGATGTCTGCTAGTTGAAGACGGCACAACCAACTTCTGCTAACAAACTTGTTTTTTTCTGTTGCATCTCTTTACTCCCCATAGGTATGTAGAGTTTAACTTGATCTATGACAGAGGTACAAAGTTTGGCCTCCTGACACCAGGATCAAGAATTGAAAGCATTCTTATGTCTCTGCCACTGACTGCAAGGTAAGGGCATAGTTACGTGGGGTTGCAGGTGAGCACTGTTCTTATTAAAATGCTTCCTAGGGTTAAATCAAAGGCCTGTCCTGGTGTCCAGCCAGGCTAGTTCATGTCTGACACAAGAACTGGCCAAGTACATACAGACGTTTCTCTGGTCTTCTACACTCACCTAGTTACCAGTAGTGTGCTGCCTAGACCAAATAAAAGTGTTATTTTTTGTGCTTAGTACCTCTTGATGCATTTCCTCTCCTTGTTCCGTGGGCTTTTGTTTTGTAGCTCTTCAAAACCATATAAGCTTCTGGCAGTCCTGACAAACCTGTGGAAAGAAGCTCCACAGTTGAACTGTGTGTTGTTTGAAAAAGTGCCTCTTTGTTTTCTACTTGCACCTGATAACTTCATTTGACTTTTCATAGAGTAACATGATTTTCTTCCTGTTCATTTTCTCCATAACAGTTCTTATTTTACAGGCTTCTGGTTTATTTCATTGTCTGTTTGCCAGGCTGACAAGTCCTGCTCTTTTAAGTCTTTGTACAGTCACTGTTCCATACTTTGATCAGATACCTTCTCTAGGCTAAAGTTTTCTATGCCCTTTCTGAGCCAGGGATAAGGAACTGACAACATAAGCTACATATGTGTATCCAAGATGCAGGTGTACTGCCAGCTCACACAGTGGCTTAATGATGTTTTAATTCATTATTCCTTTCATAATCCTAATATTCTGTCTGCTGGTTTTGACTCCTGCTCAGCATTGAGGTAGTTTTTTCACAGAACTGTTACAATGCCAAGATCTTTTCTGGGCAATAAAATTTAACTCAGTCTCTCAGTCTGTTTGCAGCTTTTTTTCTGTGTCCATCACTTCACATCAACAGTCACTTTCACCTACCATTTCATTGCTGGGTTGCTTGGCTCAATACTAACTGTTTTCCATGTTTTTTTAGGTTTTAACCCATCTTGCTCAATCTTGCAGTATCAGTAAATTCTGTTATTTACTGTTTACTCCTGGTTTTAGGTTGCTTTCAGACATGCTAAGTAGCACAGACCCTATCATGAATTCCATAAAGTTCATTAGACACCTCGCTCCACTAGGAAAACTGACCTTTGACTTCTACCCCTTAACCATGAAGTCAGTCCTGTTCCTTCATATTCCTTCATCCTACTGCCAACAATAGAGGTGTCCATGACCTGGGGGTGTAGCACACTCCTATCTTTTGATTTTGTTTCTGGGATGATCTGGTTTTGCTTGGTTTTGTCAACGTAAATAGTTCACGGCATGAGTGGGTCGTACCAGGAGGAAATCATGGAAAGAGGATGTGCCCCTCTCTCTGTGACTGCTAACACTTTCTCTTAATTGCCTTTTCCATAAAAGGTGATCTTCCATCACCTTTGTTTCTAAAACCAAAATTCGACAAGAGCTTGTAGAGCTTCCAGTCCAGTTTCTGGAAAAACTAGGTCTCATGCTCTCAACTGTCAAAATTCCATGAGTTTCTTTTTTGCTTGTCTTCCTCATGATCGTAGTACATCACAAGAGACTGCTAAAAGATTTTTTCAGACTCTTTTTTACTGAATGTATGCTTTGTAGCCAAATGTATCACCTTGTCTGAGACTATCAACTCTGTATGTAGCTTTGCATCCTCAGACAAGACAGCTCAAGTCCAAACACAGCTGGGAGTGGGAGAGGTGGCAGCCAGCTGGGCAGTATGAGTGAATTTCCCCTCTCCCTGCAGGTGGGAGTACATGCACACCCCGCCAGAGAGCTCCAAAGAAGCAGAAATCCTGGAGGTTCTGCGAAATCCCAGAGACTGGGTGCACTGACATGGATCATGGACAAGTTGGATTGCTTACACTGAGCCATTCTGAGAGAACAGGAACGCCTGCAAACCAGCTTATCCAAACTGCTGCTCCATGGTGTTTCAGAGCATCTGTTTATACTCTTACCTGATGCCTTAATAGCACTGTAAACTTCTTAAAACTTGCAAGTATGTAAGCTCATTCTGTAAGACTGATGGGCTAATGTTGTCACCCCCTGTTGCTGCTCCCTTGTGAGGGACTGGCAATGGCCTCACAGGCTCCTGTGCATGCTCTAGAACTTTTTCAACAGCTCCATTTGAGTGCAGAGTGGCAAACTACCATCAAGTGTTCTCCCAGTGAAATGAAAGCATTATCTGTGCCTAAATAGCACTGCTCACCCTTAGGAAATGTTGGAATGTTTAAAAACATTTTTTTAATAATAAAGGGAATATTTGGTATGATTTTAAACCTTAAACGCTGTTTTCAGGAAGTTGTGAAAAAGGTGGTACTTACATGTATTTTGATGCTGTCCATATTGATTTTAGTCAGGAAAATGTTTTAAGATGTGGTGCAGTAGCATGACTTGACTGATCAGGATTTGAGTTGGGGTCCCAGTGTTACCTGATGAGAGTGGAAAGCTGGTTGTTCATATGAGGAGAAAATCTTTCAGTGTGTTGAGAATGATCAGCTGTGATCACGGTGAGGTTACAACCTGCCTTGAGTCAGCAGCTTTGCCAGGGAGGGATCAGGAATCACAGAATCTTCAGAATTGGGAGAAACACGTAAGGATCATCAAGTCCAACTCTTGGCCCTGCACAGTGTATCCATAAGACTCACACCATGTGCTTGAGAGCATTATGCAAATGCTTCTTGAGCTCTGTCAGGCTTGGTGCTGTGACCACTGCCCTGGGGAGCTGTTCCAGTGTTCAGCTACCCTCTGGGTGAAGGAGTTTTTTCTAATAGCAAACCTAAACCTCTCCTGACACAGCTTCAGCCCATTTCCTCGGGTTCTGACACTGGTACCCAGAGAGAAAGCTGTTGCATATTACCCCGAGGGCCTTCCAATAGTACTTCACACGCTGCTTCCGGCCCTGGACTGATCTACTTTATCAGACTCCTAGCGCGAATCTCGTCACATGCCCCGTAGGGAAGAGCAAGAGTGGGGTGCATTCCCTCTCTGCCCCAGGGAGAAAAAAGTAACTGCTCCACCTCCCCGTCGGGGAATCGAACCCCGGTCTCCCGCGTGACAGGCGGGGATACTAACCACTATACTAACGAGGAATGGGATGAGGGCTGTTTCCCTTGTTGCCCCCACGTGGTTGTGACTCGCCCGTCGCGAGTTTCTGGCCAGGGGATGACTGGTCCCAAGGACTGTCCCCCCGGACCGCCGAAATCAACCTTCTCCTTGCGAGCTACCGCGTTCGCTTCTGCGTTACCCTCTCAAAGGAAATACACCAATACTCTGCTATGTCAGCTAGCTCCTCACCTCCCGG